TGCTTCATCAGCTTCTTTTGGGGGGTCCTAGGTGACATTAGGGGTCTTGGAGACCCCTGATGTCTCCATAAAGAGGACCTGTCACATATTTTGCTATCACATAGGGGGGGTTTTATTAGCCCCCATGTGATAGCGATAAAGTTTAGTAAAAAAATAAAAAAAAAAGGGAAAAAAAATGTAAGTCCCCCCTCCCCCAAAAAAATGTTTTAAGTCCCCACCCATACATACACGCATGCAAACATGCGTCGGGGGCGCATACGTGCAAAAACGACGATTGCGCCCATTACGCCGCACATGTTACATATCGCCGCGAACGTCGGAGTGAGAGCAATAAGTCTAGGGCCATCAATCACTGATAACACTAAACTGATGAGCGGTAAAAGCTTTTAAAGTGTCGCCTATGGCCAATTTCGGGTATGGTAGTTTTCTGCGATTTCGCGGGTGCGCACAATTTTAAAGGTTGACATGTTTGGTGTCTATTTACCCGACGTGACCCCGTCTTTTATATTTTACAAAAAAACTGGGTAATAATAAATGTTTCCTAACATAATGTTAAAAAAACGTTTTTTTTCAAAAAATTTTAAATTTTTTCCTAATTATAGTAAAAAATAAAAACCCGTAGTGGTGATTAATTACCACCAAAATAAAGCTCCATCTGCCCCCCAAAAATGGTATACAATTTGTTTCAGTACAGCGTTGCATGACGGAATAAATGTCAGTCAAAGTATCGCAGCGCTGAATACTGAAAAATGGCCGGTACAGGAAGGGGGTCTAAACACCTGGTCTTGAAGTGTGTTAAAGGTTGACATGTTTTGTGCTAATTTACCCGACGTGACCCCGCCTTTTATATTTTACAAAAAAATTGGGTACAGATAAATGTTTTAGAACATAACGTAGGGAAAACAGTTTTTTTTCCAAATTTTCAGAACTTTTTTTCATTGTATAGTAAACAATAAACCCCCCCCTCCCCCCAGTGGTGATTAAATACCACCAAAAGAAAGCTCTATGTGTCCAGAAAAAATGGTATAAAATCCATGTCAGTGCAGCGTTGTATGACGGAATAAACGTCAGTCAAAGTACCGCAGCGCTGAATACTGAAAAATGGCCTGGACAGGAAAGGGTTAACCACTAGAAGTCCGCTGTGTTACACCCCCTTCCTGATCTGTATTCAGCGCTGCGATACTTTGACTGACGTTTATTCCGTCATACAACGCTGTACTGACATTCATTTTATACCCTTTTTTATGGACAGATAGAGCTTTCTTTTGGTGGTATTTAATCACCACTGGGGGGAGGGGGAGGGGGGGGGTTATTTTTTACTATATTCAAGAAACATTTAAAAAAAACAAAAAAAAAACTGTTCCCCCTATATTAAATGATAAAACATTTATATTTACCCAATTTTTCGGTAAAATATAAAAGTCGGGGTCACGTCGAGTAAAAAGACACCAAACATGTCAAGCCTTAAAATTGCTTGCGCGCGCAAAACCTCTAAAAACCATAATACCCAAAATTGGCCATAGGCGACGCTTTAAAAGCTTTTACCGCTCATCAGTTTAGTGTTATCAGTGATTGATGGCCCTAAAATGATTGCTCTCACTGCGACGTTCGCGGCGATATGTAACGTGTGTAGCGCAATTGTGTTTTTTTCGCGCTGGCGCACCGGACGCATATTTACATCTATATGTGCGTAAACGTGGGGGTGGGGGACTTTAAAAAAAAAAAATGTTTTACTTTTTTTTATATGTGACATTTATTTATTTTCTGTAGGACCCCTAATGTCACCTGGGGACCCCCAAAGAAGCTAATGAAGCCAGAGATTTGCTTTATCAGCTTCTTCTCTCTGGCTATAGCAGCCAGATGACTGACAGGTGAATCCGGAAGTGATGTATTACACATCACTTCCGCATTCAGACGTCAGAGGGAGATCGGCAAGGAGGAAGATGCTGAACTCCCTCCCATCTTACCTTCTGACACCCTCCCGAGCCGGTCCCGGGCCGCAGATGGGCTAGCGGATCCTGGGATTGAAGGTGAGCGGTCAGTACTCCAGGCGGCGGCACTCCAGGGGGGATGTCGAGCAAAACACAACATACAAGCGATCGGCGGCTATGGAGCCGCCAATCATTTGTATGTGAAAGAGCTGGTAACGGCTGTACAGAACGGACAGGTTTTTTCTGCCCGTGCGTGCACGCTAGAGAGCGCACGCCAGCAGAAAAAAAATGACGTCTAATTATGGCAACCCGCCCATGTGAGTCTGCCGACTGTCCGTTTTTTCACAACGGGCGGACGGCCAGAGGTTAAAGATGTCATAATTTCCCAGAATCCCCCATTATCTCTCATATGGAATATAATATATAAACATGGAGTGCAGGGCTTAGAACTTCATGTCATGGAGAAGTCTCATCTCATCACATCCTTCTCTGTCTGTCCTGTGTCAGTTTGTAGCTCCACCATAGAGCGGGATTCTGACACTCGTCACATTGATGGATCGGGTCTCCCTGCAGAACAGGCTTAGAACCCCCAATCTAAGCGGGAGAGTGATTCCTATACAGGAGCCCAATATATGTCCCACCAACTACTCTCCACCCCACCTCACACCATGTGACCCCGACACTGACCCGTATGGTCTCCTCCTTCACAGTGGCCAAGCTGGAGCCGCGTTCCTCACAGTCCTTAGCACTGTCTGTACGGGATTTATTGGTCTCAGAGAAGAAATAACATTTATCATTGATGGTGATCCAGAGATCCGGACATCTAGGAGACCGACCTGTAATATGGAATAATAAAGACCTTCATTGATGATAGAGAGAGGGCTGGACACAGGAGAGACTGTCCTGTAATATGGAGTAATAGAGATTATCAGTGATGATGGAGATCTGTATTACCTTGGATGGGTTGCGTCTGATCTGACACAGGCAGATGGGAACTGTTTCCGGTGACGCGGCCGTCCCTTGTTATTCCTGTGATACACATTCATGTTAAAGAGCAACTCCTGACAAGCAGTACAAGTATTCAGTAACAATGTGCAGGCGGGGGTGCAGCCAGTCACCGCTCCAATGTATAATCTCTGTACAGTGCAATACACATTTGTTGTTGTGTTTCTGAAGAACCGTTAACCATCTGATAGTATAAAATGCTGCACAGTGTGGTTTGGTCACACCGATCATTAGTCCTGTTGCTGGTCTGAAGTAACAGAACCCCAGGAGACAAAACCGATTATTTTTACCATGGCCCGTCCAAAATGTTCACCCAACTTAAATATTTGTGCAAACACAAGATTTACTAAGCCTAGATTTCAATTTAGATATATTCCCGTTTTTATGCATTTTTGGTCCTGCCTTCACTCGCTGGTAGGATTTTTTGAGTATTTTGTTGGAATAACCTCTTGCCCGTAGTCTAATCCTCAAATTTTGAGCTTCCCTTTCAAAGTCAGCATCACTCGTACAGTTCCTCCTGACTCTCAAATACTGGCCATACGGGATACTGTTTTTCAGACTTTCTGGATGGGCACTACTTGCCTCAAGGATAGCATTCCCTGCTGTATCCTTCCTGTACAGACTAGTGTACAGGACCCCCCTCGTGTCCTTGCACACAAGGATGTCTAGGAAGGGTAACTTACTGTCATCTAATGTTAGGTGAAATTTTTGGACGTTAAACCCACTATTACTTATCGACGTTGTCCCTCCCTAAAGGATAAATTGACGAGCAGTGACTTTGTTAGAGGAAGTGGTAATTGCTGTAAATATCGAGGAACCTTCCAATGTCAAAAATGCAAATTCTGTCGCTTTGTCCAGTCTGGCACTGAGATTATCACCCCTCGGGGAAAACGTTTCAAAGCGCGTCATTTTGTCAACTGCGAAACAAAGGGTGTCATTTACTTGATGCTATGCAAGTGTGACATGTTTTACGTTGGGAAAACAAAACGAATGTTCAAGAATAGGATCTCGGATCATCTGACGGACATATCGGCCAGAGATCTGAGGTCTCCTATTGTGAGACATTTTGTGGATACACATAACGGACAGATCGACAGACTTCGCTTTTTTGCGTTGGACAGGGTACACCACCCAGACGTGGAGGGGATTGGGAAAAATCTCTTCTACAAAGGGAATGTAGATGGATCCATCAAACAAAATCTCATGAGGCCCCGGGGCTGAATGATATGATTAATTTTAGTTGCTATCTCTAAAGTCAATCGGTATATCAAACATGATGTCTCTTATTGTGATAATTAGAATGTATTTACACTGCTTTTCTTCATATGGGCATTTTCCCCGTTTTTTTAAAATAATTTAAAATAAAATAAAATAAAGAATAATGGACATACCTAGCCAGATCGAACAATGTGAAAGACCCTTGGGGTTTCGGATAATGCCGGTTCATAATGGACAATAAAATTTTTTTATTTCTGTGCATAGGGGACTTTCTAGTGTAACTAAGTTTTATTGAAACCCTGGAGTTTGGTTTTCACTTTAGCTGTATTTTGCATAGCTCCCTTTGTTCCCCGTAGTTTTTGACTAGATTTACTAAGCCCTCCCATTCAGGGAACCTGATCTTCAAAACAGGGGCAACAAGAAGTATGGAGACGTGGAAGCAGCTGTAAGAGTACAAATTGCTAGAAAGAGTCATAAATACCCAGAAGCCGCCCGTCTTCCTGGATAGATGTATCTTATACAACTCAGAATCTCTACACCAATTAATTCTTTCAATGTTTTTAGTGTGTGCAATCAGCCCCACCCCTGAGGAGTCTTTTACCTGTCACTCGGAGGAATATCAGCACTGACTGTAGAGTGACACACGTCAACAGAATCACCATGAGCAGTGCAGGGGCCAGAAAACCATAGAAGGTTGCTCCATGGATCATATTCTTCTTTCTGGATGATGCTGGGGTCACATGATGAGAGACAAATGTTGTAGAAGTGTTGTTGAATGATGCTGGGACCACATTGTCATACAGAGGGGATACCTGGACCATACGCCTATTATTGGCTGCTGTAGGGACCGCATGCAGAGGGCTGGATCCAGGGTCTGCACCCTCATTGTCAGATTCTGGAAATACAAGGATGACATAAAGATGAATAGGAGCAGTACAACAAGAGGATAGCGTTCAAATTAAATTGTTTCACCAAGATCAGTAGGTTCAATCAAAGAGTTTTGGGGCCCAGAACGACCCCATTCATCAGGGATGTGTAACAATGCAGCAAAAAGATACGTCTTTTATAGATCTAAACTGTGGATGCAATTCTCCGCCTGATGTATCCCCCCCCCCCCCGTCCT